CGGTTTTCGAGGGTGAGAACCAAGCGGGTGGTGATGGGACGTTGAACGACTATCATCTAAACCATAGTTGGTACACTCTTTAACCCAAGAAACGAGTCTATATGTAGAAAGTGTGTCTTACATTGCTTATGAATGTAGGAACACTAAAGATAAACGGGAGAGATGCAAGAATCCTTATTGATACCGGGGCGCAACGATCATTTGTGAGTGAGGCGTTCGCCGGGGGATTCAATGAACCGCTCGTACCAATGACTCATACCCTATTGGTGTCCACGCCTCTAGGGGATGACATCGAAAGAGATAGCCACTATCCATCGTGTGAGGTGGAAGTGGAGGGCCAAAACTTGACGTGTGATTTCGTATCACTAAGTATGATCGAGTTCGACGCGATCCTTGGAATGGATTGGCTGGAGAAACATCATGCTAGGGTCGATTGCTACACAAAGGTTCTTGAACTTAAAAGCGGTGAAGGGCTTACCTTACGCTTTGAGGGAGATAGAGGCAAATCAAACAGTTGTATCATATCCGTCGTGAGAGCGAGGAATATGATGAGAAAGGGGTGCCACACATATCTAGCATACGTGGTGGACAAAACCAAAGAAGAGGTAGACATCAATGATGTGAGAATAGTGTGCAAGTATCCGGATGTCTTCCCAAAAGACTTGCCGGGACTTCCACCCGATAGGGAGATTGAGTTCGTGATCGAGGTTGAACCCGACACCAAACCAATCTCTATACCGCCATACAGAATGGCACCCGTTGAACTTAACGAGTTGAAAACCCAATTGCAAGAGCTATTGGATAACGGTTTCATAAGGCCGAGTCGCTCTTCGTGGGGAGCACCGGTCCTTTTCGTGAAAAAGAAAGATGTGACACTTCGAATGTGCATTGACTATCGTCAACTGAACAAGGTCACAATCAAGAATAGGTATCCCTTGCCTAGGATTGATGACTTGTTTGATCAGCTCCGAGGAGCGACGGTGTTTTCGAAGATTGACTTGAGGTCGGGGTACCACCAACTGAAGATAAAGGAGGATGACATACCGAAGAGAGCATTCCGCACAAGGTATGGTCATTTCGAGTTCCTAGTTATGTCGTTCGGACTAACCAATGCCCCTGCGGCATTTATGGACTTCATGAACCGAGTATTTCATAAATACTTGGACCGGTTTGTGATTGTTTTCATAGATGATATCCTGATTTACTCAAAGAGTGAAGAAGAGCATAAGGAGCACTTGATACTTGTTCTTGAGACACTACGGGAGAGGCAACTCTATGCCAAGTTTTCCAAATGTGAATTTTGGCTAAGGGAGATTGGCTTTCTCGGGCATGTGGTCTCGGGATCAGGGATTGTCGTAGATAACAAGAAGATTGAGGCAATTACTGAATGGGAGAGGCCAAAGAACGTCAAGGAAATTCGTAGCTTCCTTGGATTAGCAGGGTATTACCGAAAGTTCGTGGAAAAGTTCTAAGTTTTGGCATCTCCATTGACAAAGCTCACTCGAAAAGGGGCCAAGTTTATATGGGATGACCGATGTGAGAAGGGATTCCTTGAACTGAAGAAGAGATTGACCGAGGCACCGGTACTTGCATTACCCTGACAGGGTATGGGGTACGATGTCTATAGTGACGCGAGCATCCAAGGGCTTGGATGTGCCTTGATGCAGAATGGGAGGGTGATTGCCTATGCTTCGCGACAGTTGAAGAAGCATGAGGTAAATTATCCTACTCATGACTTAGAGCTGGGGGCAGTGGTATTTGCATTGAAGATTTGGAGACATTATCTCTACGGGGAAACATGTCATATATACACTGACCACAAAAGCCTGAAATACGTGTTGACTCAGAAAGAGTTAAACATGAGACATAGACGGTGGATGGAGTTGATAAAAGACTACAATCTAGTTATCGAGTACCACCCCGGTAAAGCCAACGTGGTAGCGGATGCCCTGAGCCGAAAGAATTCGTCTGGGGCATTGTTGACTAGTTTGAGGGCATTGAGAGCCCGATTGGAGGTATCTAGCGATGGTGCCTTGTTAGCTAGATTCGAGGTGAGACCTACATTACTTGATGAAATCAAGAAGGGTCAAGAAACTGATGAAGAGCTTATGAAGGTCCGTGAACGCATGCTAGCGGGACCGGTTGAGGATTTCAGGGAAAGAGACGATGGTCTCTTATTATTTCGTGACCGAGTGTGCGTACCGTCGGATGATGGGCTCCGAAAGTCCATCTTAGAGGAGGCTCATTCATCGGCGTATGCCATGCATCCGGGAGGCACAAAAATGTACCGTGATTTGAAAGAAAGTTACTGGTGGTCGGGTATGAAGAGAGAAATAGCCGAGTATGTCAGTAAGTGTCTTACTTGTCAGCAAGTTAAGGCAGAACATCAGCATCCAGCTGGGTTATTACAGCCACTTTCCATTCCTGAATGGAAGTGGGAACACGTGACTATGGATTTCGTGGTAGGGCTGCCACGGACGATTAAGAACTATGACGCCGTATGGGTTGTGGTCGATAGGCTCACGAAGAGTGCACACTTTCTACCTATCAACACCACCTATGCACTGGAGAGGTTAGCCAAGTTGTATGTGGATGAGATCGTGAGGCTACATGGGGTTCCGATAACCATTGTATCCGATAGAGATCCGCGATTCACATCACGATTTTGGCCGAAGTTCCAAGAATCTATGGGGACAAAGTTGAAATTCAGTACAACTTTTCATCCACAAATGGATGGGCAATCTGAGCGGGTTATTCAGATATTAGAGGATATGCTGAGAGCTTGTGCATTGGAGCTCCAAGGGAGTTGGGACAACCATTTGGCACTTGTGGAGTTTGCCTATAACAACAGTTATCAGGCGAGTATAGGCATGCCTCCATACGAGGCATTGTATGGGAGGAGATGTCGTACACCTTTGTGTTGGGATGAGGTTGGCATGGCCAAACTCGAGAGCACGGAACTAGTGGAGATCACCAAGTCAAAGGTGAAGATGATTCATGAGAGACTTAAGGCGGCACAGGATAGACAGAAGAGCTATGCCGATAAGCGCCGAAGAGCCTTAGAGTTTAAGGTTGGAGATGAGGTGTTTTTGAAAGTTTCACCTTGGAAAGGAATCATTCGATTTCAGAGCCGAGGGAAACTTAACCCACGCTACATAGGGCCATTTGTAATTCTTGAGAGAATTGGGGCCGTAGCATACCGATTACAGTTGACTCCGGAATTGGAGAAAATACATAATGTATTCCATGTGTCTATGCTTAAGAAGTATATTCCAGATCCATCTCATGTACTAGAGAAACCACCCGTGGAAATACGGGAAGACTTGAACTACGCCGTGCAACCGGTAAGGATACTTGACAGGCAAGTAAAGAAGCTAAGAAGCAAGAGAGTTCCAATGGTCAAAATCCTTTGGAAGAGTGACCGAGTGGAAGAAGAAACTTGGGAGACTGAAGCCTCGATGAAGGATCAGTATGCATTTCTGTTTGAATAATCGTTGTGAATTTCGGGGACGAAATTCCCGTTAGGGGGGGGGGGGGGGGTGAACTTGTGACACCGTCCCCAAGCATGTTTACTTTTAGTAAATGATGTAGTAGACCTTGAAAGATGACTTATGAATTTACGTAATTGTTAAATTTTATTATTTCTTTTACGTGAATAGTAAATTGCATGTGGGGCCCACAACGGGAACGGGGACCGCTCGATAATTCCCGAACCACATATTATATTCATCTTGGTCTAGATGACATCTATATGGTGGTGGATATTTTAATTGAGCAATGGGAAGAGCATAGAGTTGACCGGTGGGTCAAACGAGGCCCAATTACCGGTATTGGTAATTTAGCGGATAACAGCCTGAAATGAGTTTTGGAGACTCCTAAATTAATGTTGGGGAATGTACATCTATTCTAAAGGCCCATAATTATTAGGAACGCGTGATACATTTTATTTGACCCGATAAAATAAAATGTAATTAAAACGGGCCGAGAAATACAACTTTCGGGGCCGATTGTACACACCGGGACATAATGGGATGACCTCCCACATAAGTGGGGGCCACCCCACGTTTTTATGGGTGCTGATTGGCCAAATAATATGGGAAGGACGGATGATTGAAATGGGAAGCCTCAATTGAGACAAAACCCATACCCCCAAGTCATGTCTTCCACAATTATATTGTGGTTGATTGAGGAGCATCCCCTACCACCCTTGTACCATCCGCACAACTCAACCACATGGAGATAAGCTCTAGGAAAAATCTCCACAAAGCTCAAGCTCAAGGGAAGCAAGGAGGAAGGAGAATCCAAGAGGGAAGAGCTAGGAGTTGGGTAAGAACTCATTAAGCATTTCTTTTAACTAGTTTATGTTGTATGATTTTTAAGAAATCATATGGTGGATTAAACCACGAGTTCTACACGTTTAAAAGTCTCTCATCTAAGGATTTCTCAATAGTGATGTATGAGTACATCTTTCTAACATGCATGGTTGAAAGGCATAGATCCGTATAGTATATATCTATGATACATGGCAGCATGGGTTTTTGTTTCCTTTTCCATTTGGTGTGCCTAGTGTCCTTAAAATTGGTTGGCATAGTATTAGTCATTTAGATTTAATTGTTTAGCTATTAGTTCTTCTATGAGTCCATAAAATTTACATGTGCCAAGGTCAACCTTTACTATAAAAAAAATTGTGCATTACGAAGGTTTCATTATTACTTAATTTATTATTATTATTATTATTATTATTATTATTATTATTTTATAAATTTTTATCTATTTACTTTTTATCTTGAAATTTTATTTATGATAAATTGAGGTTGTCACAATTCTTCCCCTCTAAAAAGAAATTTTGTCCTCGAAATTTACCTTATTAAAACAGTTGTGTCACGCCCCGGACCGCATCCGAGACACGTAGACAACCGCCGTACAACCCGATAAGAACAACAACAGTTCATTCCTATTGGATTGTACAAGGCGTCCGATTGATTCTATTGCCAAACCGATTAGTAAACACATACAATCAACATCAATATCATAGTCAAACAAATGCGGAAAAATAAAATGTTTGATACTTAGCCACACGTGGCAAACACAGGCACGCAGGCCCCCAACTGTTTTAATGAAAATATTATTCAAAAATCCATGAGCGGTTTATACATTTGAAATAAGAATGGAAGCACGAACCACGTCTTCCTTCTCGATCAGTCACCCTAGGCAAAGGTGCAGGTAGAAGGACTCTAGCCTCAACCTGAAAAATGTGAGGGCCCCCGGAGGGGTCAGTACTCCATAGAAGTACTAGTGACAAGCAGACTATATGAAGAATAACTAATGTTTCAGACACGAGACCCAAAAATAGAGTGTTACATATATATATGTGACTCATTCATCCGATGATACATACTGTATATATATATGTAAAATACTCGACTCGTAGGTCATTTCATTCAAAGAGTCTTTTAGAGATAAAGTTCTTACCTGACCTTTCTCACCCTTTTCCCGAATGCCTAGCTCACCAGCTACATTCTACATTCGTAATATCCTACCGAGTTTTGGGAGCATTTAGCATCCCGGGGATGCTCAACCCCGACCGAGTTTCAGGATCATTAAATGTTCCGGGGATGCTCAACCCCAACCGAGTTTCAGGATCATTTGTAGTCCCGGGGATGCTCAACCCCAACCGAGTTTCAGGATCATGTATGGTCCCGGGGATGCTCAACCCCAACCGAGTTTCAGAATCATTTAATGTCCCGGGGATGCTCAACCCCAACCGAGTTTCAGGATCATCTAATGTCCCGGGGATGCTCAACCCCAAACTAAATCCTTACCAAACCCTAACCTGGATATGGCTAACCTTTCGTTCCTTCAACTATGGACAATACCTAGCCCTATAGTCATATACCATCTTTAGGAACCAATATGGGCGGGTCCCACCTGAACGGCCCACATTAACCCGCTCAAAACTGCCCGTTTTGAGCATAAACCAATACTCGATCGAGTATCTACCCATACTCGGTCGAGTACAGGAGGCGGTAGCCCCCAAAGCTAATTTTCCATGTATACTCGATCGAGTATCTACCTATACTCGATCGGGTATAGGAGACAGTAGCCCCCTGGGCAATTTTTCAGCAAATACCCGGTCGGGTATGTGTCAATACCCGGTCGGGTATGGCAATTGACTTGGCGGTCAACGCCCCTTTTTACCCCCCAAACGGAGTCCGATTAACTTGAAATTTTATACACATATACTTCTTGATGTCCTTGATCCAAAAATACCATTTTGGATCCCTGGATCATCATACCAAATATGTTATCACATTCTTAATCACCAAACCTACATAACATGCTTTTCAACTATGTTTCATGCAAAATCATGGCATAAGCAAATACTTGATTATCTTTAATCATTCCACAAAACATATCCTTGATTACTTTAGGTAATCTCATGCCTCACGCAAAAGTTATAAAGCATAAAGCCGTCCTCTCACCTTAATGAAGCTTATGAAGTTCTAGCCTTCCCGATTTAGCTCCGGCGAAACTCCGGCGAACTTCGACGAACTCCGGCGACAACTCCGGCGACCCTTTCAACTCCGTGAAAGTTCCTTGAATACCTTAGACAAGTTACTAACAAGGTTTTATCATCATAAAACCCATAGTAATACAAATAACCCCCAAAAGGTTATTTTCCGGCGAACCGGTTACTTTGGCTTCTAAGTCCGTTCTTGGACTTAGAACCACCTTCCAACCCTTCATTCTACACTTCCAAACGTGTAGAACAATCCTAGGGTGTGAAATATGATTGAATAGTCATATAAGAGTATTAAAGAACAAGAAATGGGATTAATGGAGTCCTTACCTTGCTAAACACAAGTTTTCCTCTCCAAAACCAACTTTTCTCTTCTCTTTTCCCTTCCTTCTTCCTCCCCTTGCTTTGTGCGAAAATGGTGGATGAAAATGGAGTTTTAGCAGAGCTTCTCTCACTATGATTGAGGTCTGGGTCGAGTGGATGAGGTGTGGGGGGTGAGGATGGTTCCTTCTTTTGGCTCATTCATAATAATGTGGGAGGAGGGCCCCTTTCCCTTCTCATCTTATCTCTCACTCATCTCCAGCCTCAATCAGCAGCATTAGGTGCGGCTCCCTTTGACATTTGCAACACCAAATTCGTGGGGTGGCCCCCACTCATGTGGGAGTCCATCCCTATATGTTCCCAAGTGTACAATCGGTCCCGAAAGTTGTATTTTCCGGACTGTTTTAAGTATATTTTATTTTACCGGGTCAAATAAAATATAACACTTGTTCCCAATCCTTATTGGACCTTAGAATGAATATGCATCCCTCAACTTTAATTTAGAAGTCTCCGAAATCCCTTTTTTGGGCTGTTATCTGATAAATTTCCGATACCGATAATTTGGCCCCGTTTGACCAACCGGTCAACCATATGCCATTGTCATGGCCCAATTTGGATATCCACCACCATCTACATATTATCTAGTCCAAGATTAATATAATATGTGGTCCCGATAATATCGAGCGGCCCCACCTCCGGTGTGGGCCCCACGTGAATTCTTCTATTCACGCAATAGAAATGATAAAAATTTACAATCACGTAAAAACGCTTTTATACATTTCTCAAGGTTCAGTACATAATTTGGTACAGTACAAATACTCGGGGGCGGTGTTACAAGTTCTACCCCCCTTATTTGGGATTTCGTCCCCGAAATCCATGTGTCTAATCAAACAGAAATGGATATTGTTCCCTCATTAGGGTCTCCACTTCCCATGTTTGCTCCTCGACACGATCACTCTTCCAAAGTACTTTTACCATCGGCACCTCTTTGCTCCTTAACTTCTTTACCTGTCGGTCTATGATCTTTACCGGTTGTACTGTATAATGTAGGTCTTCTCGGATTTCTACCGGTGGTTTCTCAAGAATATGTGACGGGTCCCGCACATACTTCTTGAGCATAGAAACATGAAATACATTATGAATCTTTTCTAACTCTGGAGTCAACTGAAGTCGGTAAGCTACAACCCCAATCCTTTCAAGGATTTTGAACGGACCTATGTAACGTGGGTTAAGCTTACCCCGACTGAGGAACCTGATGATCCCTTTCCAAGGTGATACCCTCAGAAATACCTTGTCACCAACCTCAAACTCCAACGTTCTCCGACGTTTATCAGCATAGCTCTTCTGCCGGTCTTGGGCAGCGTTGAGCCTATCCTGTATGACTTTTATCTTCTCCTTAGTGATCTCGACTAACTCGGTGCCCTCGAGCTTAGCCTCGCCGACCTCGTTCCAACACAATGGTGTCCGGCATTTCCTCCCATACAATGCTTCGTATGGAGGCATGCCTATACTTGCCTGATAACTGTTGTTATAGGCGAATTCCACCAAAGCCAACTGATTGTCCCAGCTCCCCTGGAACTCCAAGGCACATGCCCTTAACATGTCCTCCAAGATTTGAATCACCCGTTCAGATTGCCCATCCGTTTGAGGATGAAACGCAGTGCTAAACCTCAATTTCGTACCCATGGATTCCTGGAACTTAGGCCAAAACCGTGATGTGAACCGTGGGTCTCTATCCGATACTATAGTAACCGGGACCCCATGCAGTCTCACAATCTCATCTGTGTACAATTTGGCCAACCGCTCGAGCGTATAGGTAGTGTTGATAGGTAGGAAATGAGCGCTCTTGGTCAGCCTATCGACTACCACCCATACTGCGTCGTAGTTCCTAACCGTCCGTGGTAGACCCACCACGAAGTCCATGGTAACATGCTCCCACTTCCATTCTGGAATGGTAAGTGGTTGTAGTAACCCTGCTGGGTGTTGGTGCTCTGCCTTAATCTGTTGACAAGTAAGGCAATGGCTCACGTATTCTGCAATTTCTCTCTTCATCCCTGACCACCAGTAACTTTCCTTCAAGTCCCGGTACATCTTTGTACCGCCCGGGTGCATGGCATACGCAGATGAGTGAGCCTCCTCAAGGATAGATTTTCGGAGCTCCTCATCCGATGGTACACACACTCGTTCCTTGAATAGTAGAAGTCCATCTTCTCTCTCACGGAAACCCTCGACGGGCCCCACAAGCATCCGTTCCCGGATTTTCTGAAATTCCTCGTCATTGCCTTGACATGTTCTGATTTCATCTAATAAGGTGGGTCTCACCTCAAATCTTGCCAATAGCGCCCCATCCGTGGATACCTCCACGCGTGCCCTCAGTGCCCGTAAGCATGTGAGTAAAACCCCTGATGATGAGCTCTTCCTGCTCAGTGCATCAGCTACAACATTAGCCTTGCCTGGATGATAGTCAATGATCAAGTTGTAATCCTTAATCAACTCCATCCATCTCCTCTGTCTCATGTTCAACTCTTTCTGAGTGAACACATACTTCAAGCTCTTGTGGTCGGTGTAAATGTGACACAACTCCCCGTAGAGGTAGTGCCTCCAAATCTTCAATGCAAAAACCACAGCACCTAGCTCCAGATCATGTGTGGGGTAGTTTACTTCATGCTTCCTCAACTGCCGAGAAGCATAAGCAATTACCTTCCCCGATTGCATTAGTACACATCCCAGTCCCTGAATGCTAGCATCGCTGTAGATGTCATACCCTAACCCTTGCACGGGCAAGGCAAGCACTGGTGCTTCGGTCAAACGTTTCTTTAGCTCAAGAAACCCCTTCTCACACTTGTCATCCCACACAAACTTAGCCCCCTTTTTAGTGAGCTTCGTGAGTGGAGATGCTATCACCGAGAATTTTTCCACGAATTTGCGGTAATACCCCGCTAAACCGAGGAAACTCCTTATCTCCTTCACGTTCTTGGGCCTCTCCCAATTAGTGACCGCCTCAATCTTTGAGTTATCAACTGAAATGCCCGAGCCCGATACCACATGCCCGAGAAAACCGATCTCCCCAAGCCAAAATTCACATTTAGAGAATTTGGCAAAGAGTTGCTCCTCCCGCAGTGTTTCAAGCACAAGCCTTAGATGTTTTTCGTGTTCCTCTTCATTCATGGAGTATATCAAAATGTCATCAATGAATACTATGACGAACTGGTCTAAGTATTGGTGAAATACTCGGTTCATGAGGTCCATGAATGCCGCGGGGGCGTTCGTAAGCCCAAACGACATTACTAGAAACTCATAGTGACCATACCTTGTACGGAATGCACTTTTGGGTATGTCACTCTCCTTGATCTTCAGTTGATGGTAGCCTGACCTCAAGTCAATCTTAGAGAACACCGTTGCCCCCCGTAGTTGATCAAACAAGTCATCGATCCTTGGAAAAGGATAGTTGTTCTTTATCGTGACCTTGTTCAACTGACGGTAGTCGATACACATTCTGAGTGTACCATCCTTCTTCTTTACAAATAGTACCGGTGCTCCCCATGGTGAATGACTCGGCCTGATGAATCCGCTGTCCAGCAGTTCTTCCAATTGCACCTTCAACTCTTGAAGTTCAGCCGGTGCCATCCGATATGGAGGAATCGAGATTGGTTTTGTACCGGGTTCTACTTCAATGGTGAACACGATTTCTCGATCTGGTGGGAGTCCCGGGAGTTCCTCAGGGAAAACTTCTGGGTACTCACTCACCACTCTCACCTCACTGAGACTCTTTTCCTTGCCCTCCTTGCCTATGACATAGGCCAAGTATGCTTGACACCCTTTCCTCATCATACGCCTTGCTCTTATGGCCGATATGATACAAGGGTTGAATTTCCCTCTATCTCCCTCGAAGCATAGAGTGTTCCCTTCTCCATCCTTTAGTTCTAACACCTTGGTGTAGCAATCTACCTTCGCATGGTGTTTTTCGAGCCAATCCATGCCAAGTATAGCATCAAACTCGAGCATATCTAACGGCACAAAGTCACCTGTTAGACAATGCCCCCCTATCCCTACATTACACGAGGGATAGTAGTGTTTCCGCTCTACATTATCTCCCAATGGCGTAGAGACCAGCAAAGGTTGCATCATTGCTACCAAAGGCATGTTCAATCCCTTGGCAAACGCTTCGCTTACAAATGAACGTTGTGCCCCGGTATCGATGAGAATTCTCGCATCCCTATCGTTGATCTTTAGTGTTCCTACATATATAAGTCATGTAAGACACCCTATTCGTCATCCTGGCAGAAAAGGACCGGACGAAAAAAATTTCAGCCTAGAATTACCCTATACCCGGTCGGGTATGGTCTTCTACCCGGTCGGGTATCACTCGAATTCTTAAGGGGAAACCCCCCTGTCTTCCTTGCTCGGTCGAGTACCCGCCTCGAATTCGGGCAAAATGTCAATACCCGGTCGGGTATATATCTATACCCGGTCGGGTATCACTCAAAATCCACAAATAAAAGCTCCCTGTCTCCGACGCTCGATCGAATACACACTTCGAAGCTCAAAATCTACACACACCCGATCGAGTATATAGCCATACCCGATCGGGTATTGCTCGAAATGTCAAAAATAAAGCATTCTGCCTTGGCTGCCCGAACGGGTGCATACTTCAAACTCGAAGCATGGCTTATACCCGGTCGGGTCTATAGGGGCACCCGATCGGGTCCTTCATATTTTTGAAGATTTTTCAACCAATTACATAATCAAATACGTGTGAAATCAAGAGATTACCTGCAATGGAGTCCGGGTTGGCCCGAGCATCAGCCTCGGTCATTGCATACACCCGTGCTTGGGTCCTCCCTTGATTAACGGACGCGGCGTTGCTAGCCGTGGGTCCGCTCCTTCCCGTGCCGGCCTGAGACGGCCCCGCACGTCCCCTACTAGTCGTAGGTCCTCCCATAGCTCCCGATGGTCCTCCCCCGTTCAGCATTGGACAAGAGGATTTGAGGTGGCTCGTGCTACCGCATTTGAAGCACCGGGGTGGTTCATTGCACCTTCCCCCATGGTTCTTACCGCAGTTTGCGCACCTGGGTGGTCCCACACCCCCCGGTTTGGGCCCTTGCCCTCCTGAACCTTTGTTCCTTTTCGCCGGTGGTGCCGGCGCCCTGAATGAATTGCAACCCCCAGCGTGATGCTTCCGGGAGTAGTCTTGGGGTCCCGAGTTTCCCCATCTTCTCTTCTTCGCCTCCTCAGCGTCCCTCAACTTCCTCTCGTTCCATTGGGCTTCCCCAAGGAGCCCCTGATCGACAATCTGGCTAAATGTCATGTTGTGATGGTAAGTAGCCCGGTCACGGATGTCCAACTGTAGAGCATCCCAAAAATGATTGGCCATTCGATTTTCATCCAGAGAGTATTCTGGGATGAATCGGGCCAAGTCACGGAACCTTTGTTCCAATTGCCTCACCGAGCAACCATCCTCCTGTTTCAGGTTTGTGTACTCCCTTCTTTTGAGATTGACTTCAAAAGTTGAGTAGTACTGATTATAGAATTCCACTTCGAACTTCTCCCAAGTGGCCTCACCGTGGAACTTTCCTTCCACGCCTTCCCACCATACAGCAGCTACCCCTTCCAGTAGTCTGGTGGCAACCCTCAACTTCACGTCGAGTCCAATTTGCATATCCCTAGAAGCATCATTCAGCTTCTTAATCCAGTCGGCGGCCTCGGATATGTCGCCCTTGCCATCAAATGATTTGCACCCCAAGGCCCTGGCCTCCTTGAGATACTTGGAGATACGCACCATCGTGTCTCCCGCAAATGCTCCGGATGGAGCACTAGAAGCACCTCGGCTTCCCTGCCCCATGGTTTGCCTAGCCTGCCTAGCTTGGCGCCGCTGCTCTCTCTTTGCTTTATTCTCGAGGTACCACTCTAGTACCTCACTCATACGGTCATAATGAGGATCATCATCCTCATCTTCTTCCTCAAAGTCCTCCCCGTTGTACGGGGTCTCCTCTTGCTCCGTGCTTGGAGCATAGGTGAAGTCGTCCGGTTCGGTGGCCCATGACGGGTGCACGGAACCGACACGTGTGCTACTTGTCGTCGGCGTGGTAGAACGCCCAAGACCCCTGCCTCGGCCTCCTCCTCGGCTTTGGCCCCGGCCTCTACCCCTAGAGGTCCGTGATTCCGCCCGAGTGGCATGCCCGGTGGCCCCCGGCACATGCCCTGTCGGGTTCCTCCTAGTTATCCTGCGTCCACCCTCCATTTCTGAAAGAAATAAGGAATGAGTCATTAGACTCGTTTCAATGTCAATTGACGGAGTAGTACAAAAGACACCACTTGGTCCAACATTATGGCCAACAAACTGTTAAGGGTACCGTCTTAACAATAAGAGGTCAATAACTTGGTTTCCAACGGTTCCTTAAGTACAAAAACTGTTGCTCATGGTTTTATTCAAAACTTTTTGAGGATAACCATATTGAGAGGTTAATTATATAGTTTAGAAATCGATGGCTCTGATACCACTTAATTGTAACGCCCCGGACCGCATCCGAGCCACGTAGACAACCGCCGTACAACCCGATAAGAACAACAACAGTTCATCCCTATTGGATTGTACAAGGCGTCCGATTGATTCTATTGCCAAACCGATTAGTAAACACATACAATCAACATCAATATCATAGTCAAACAAATGCGGAAAAATAAAATGTTTGATACTTAGCCACACGTGGCAAACACAGGCACGCAGGCCCCCAACTGTTTTAATGAAAATATTATTCAAAAATCCATGAGCGGTTTATACATTTGAAATAAGAATGGAAGCACGAACCACGTCTTCCTTCTCGATCAGTCACCCTAGGCAAAGGTGCAGGTAGAAGGACTCTAGCCTCAACCTGAAAAATGTGAGGGCCCCCGGAGGGGTCAGTACTCCATAGAAGTACTAGTGACAAGCAGGCTATATGAAGAATAACTAATGTTTCAGACACGAGACCCAAAAATAGAGTGTTACATATATATATGTGACTCATTCATCCGATGATACATACTGTATATATATATGTAAAATACTCGACCCGTAGGTCATTTCATTCAAAGAGTCTTTTAGAGATAAAGTTCTTACCTGACCTTTCTCACCCTTTTCCCGAATGCCTAGCTCACCAGCTACATTCTACATTCGTAATATCCTACCGAGTTTTGGGAGCATTTAGCATCCCGGGGATGCTCAACCCCGACCGAGTTTCAGGATCATTAAATGTTCCGGGGATGCTCAACCCCAACCGAGTTTCAGGATCATTTGTAGTCCCGGGGATGCTCAACCCCAACCGAGTTTCAGGATCATGTATGGTCCCGGGGATGCTCAACCCCAACCGAGTTTCAGAATCATTTAATGTCCTGGGGATGCTCAACCCCAACCGAGTTTCAGGATCATCTAATGTCCCGGGGATGCTCAACCCCAAACTAAATCCTTACCAAACCCTAACCTGGATATGGCTAACCTTTCGTTCCTTCAACTATGGACAATACCTAGCCCTATAGTCATATACCATCTTTAGGAACCAATATGGGCGGGTCCCACCTGAACGGCCCACATTAACCCGCTCAAAACTGCCCGTTTTGAGCATAAACCAATACTCGATCGAGTATCTACCCATACTCGGTCGAGTACAGGAGGCGGTAGCCCCCAAAGCTAATTTTCCATGTATACTCGATCGAGTATCTACCTATACTCGATCGGGTATAGGAGACAGTAGCCCCCGGGCAATTTTTCAGCAAATACCCGGTCGGGTATGTGTCAATACCCGGTCGGGTATGGCAATTGACTTGGCGGTCAACGCCCCTTTTTACCCCCCAAACGGAGTCCGATTAACTTGAAATTTTATACACATATACTTCTTGATGTCCTTGATCCAAAAATACCATTTTGGATCCCTGGATCATCATACCAAATATGTTATCACATTCTTAATCACCAAACCTACATAACATGCTTTTCAACTATGTTTCATGCAAAATCATGGCATAAGCAAATACTTGATTATCTTTAATCATTCCACAAAACATATCCTTGATTAGTTTAGGTAATCTCATGCCTCACGCAAAAGTTATAAAACATAAAGCCGTCCTCTCACCTTAATGAAGCTTATGAAGTTCTAGCCTTCCCGATTTAGCTCCGGCGAAACTTCGGCGAACTTCGACGAACTCCGGCGACAACTCCGGCGACCCTTTCAACTCCGTGAAAGTTCCTTGAATACATTAGACAAGTTACTAACAAGGTTTTATCATCATAAAACCCATAGTAATACAAATAACCCCCAAAAGGTTATTTTCCGGCGAACCGGTTACTTTGGCTTCTAAGTCCGTTCTTGGACTTAGAACCACCTTCCAACCCTTCATTCTACACTTCCAAACGTGTAGAACAATCCTAGGGTGTGAAATATGATTGAATAGTCATATAAGAGTATTAAAGAACAATAAATGGGATTAATGGAGTCCTTACCTTGCTAAACACAAGTTTTCCTCGCCAAAACCAACTTTTCTCTTCTCTTTTCCCTTCCTTCTTCCTCCCCTTGCTTTGTGCAAAAATGGTGGATGAAAATGGAGTTTAGCAGAGCTTCTCTCACTATGATTGAGGTCTGGGTCGAGTGGATGAGGTGTGGGGGTGAGGATGGTTCCTTCTTTTGGCTCATTCATAATAATGTGGGAGGAGGGCCCCTTTCCCTTCTCATCTTATCTCTCACTCATCTCCAGCCTCAATCAGCAGCATTAGGTGCGGCTCCCTTTGACATTTGCAGCACCAAATTCGTGGGGTGGCCCCCACTCATGTGGGAGTCCATCCCTATATGTTCCCAAGTGTACAATCGGTCCCGAAAGTTGTATTTTCCGGACTGTTTTAAGTATATTTTATTTTACCGGGTCAAATAAAATATAACACTTGTTCCCAATCCTTATTGGACCTTAGAATGAATATGCATCCCTCAACTTTAATTTAGAAGTCTCCGAAATCCCTTTTTTGGGCTGTTATCTGATAAATTTCCGATACCGATAATTTGGCCCCGTTTGACCAACCGGTCAACCATATGCCATTGTCATGGCCCAATTTGGATATCCACCACTATCTACATATTATCTAGTCCAAGATTAATATAATATGTGGTCCCGATAATATCGAGCGGCTCCACCTCCGGTGTGGGCCCCACGTGAATTCTTCTATTCACGCAATAGAAATGAAAAAAATTTACAATCACGTAAAAATGCTTTTATACATTTCTCAAGGTTCAGTACATAATTTGGTACAGTACAAATACTCGGGGGCGGTGTTACAAGTTGTGGATATTGTTGTCTCATCACTTCTTCACTTTCCCACGTAGCTTCTTCTGTGGTGCGATTTCGCCGGAGTACTTTGACTAATGGGATCTTTTTGTTTCTCAGGCGTTAAAGCTAAAATCTTGAAATACTATGCCACTTGTCCTTTGCTAAAATCTTTTTGTTCGACAGAGTACTCCTTGATTTCCTTTGCTAAAATTTTGACCGGTTCTTCCTTGTAAGTGAGGTCTGAATTAATTCGACTGATTCTGCTTGTATGACATGAGATGGATCTGACCGGTACTTTCTTAACATTGACACGTGTAATACATTATGGATCTTTTCCATCTCAAGTGGCAAAGCTAACTTGTAAGCCACCGTGCCAACTCGGTCGATGATTTTGTAAGGTCCAATAAATCTAGGACTAAGTTTTCCTTTCTTTCCGAACCGTAGAATTTTCTTCCATGGTGAAACTTTTAGGAAAACTTTATCCCCTACTTCATATTCAATATCCTTCCTTTTGAGATCAGCATATGATTTCTGTCGATCAAAAGCCGCTTTCAACCTTTCTTGGATAATTTTAACCTGCTCTTCTGTTTGTTTGATCACATCCGGGCCCACCAACTTCCTCTCGCTAAGCTCTGTCCAGCATAGCGGTGTTATGCATTTCCTTCCATATAGAGCTTCATATGGTGCCATCTTAATGCTAGATTGATAACTATTATTATACGCAAACTCTATTAATGGAAGGTGTGTATCCCAACTTCCACCAAAATCAATCACACAACACCTTAACATGTCCTCAAGTACTTGGGTAACTCTCTCTGATTGTCCATCAGTTTGTGGATGGAATGCGGTACTAAAACTAAATCGCGTGCCCAATGCTCCATGTAGCTTCTTCCAAAATCATGATGTAAATCGCGGGTCTCTATCTGAGATTATGGAAACTGGCTGTCACGCCCCGGACCTGGCCGGACACGTCAACAACCCGCCGTACAGTACGAATAGCCAACCGTAGTCCAACTCATCCATACTATACAAGGCGTCATGAATATCATTCACACATAGTACATCCATAAACAAACATAATGTAAAACATTCATTTAAAACAGCGGAAGCATTAATACAATTGTTCAAGCCACACTTGGCATAACTAGGCATACAAGCCCCCAAAGTAATTTATTCAAAAATAATGTCCATGAGCATTGTTATCATTATTTTGAAAACAGGAAACAGAAGAAGCACGAACCACGTCTTCTCCTTTGAATATCCCCGAAGCAACGGGCGCCGGTAGCAACCTTCAAGTTCTACCTGAAACTGTGAGGTGGCCTCCCCCGTGAAGGGGAGGTCAGTACTTGGAAATATTTGACAAGTACAATAGCAACTATACTAAGTATAATCAACGTTTTAATTTCCAAGACCCTCAAAATAGGGTGATATCATAATATAAATAGTAATTTATATTTCCCACTTATTATCTTTATAATAAGTAAATTTATTTATTTGTCGGCACACGGCCCTTCTTATATATCCTTTTTCATTTATCATTTGCACAACCCAACCCTTGGGTCCTATTATTTCTACGGGACTTGCTACCGCTGTCCGAGACCTCATGAGGCTCCCGGTTCGGACTCCAACATCCCGCCCCTGGACTCGTACCCATCATCCCGTAGGAAGGTAAGGCCCTTCGGGGTCCTATCTTATGTGTTACCGCTACCGGAACCTAGTTAGGTCTCCGATTCGGATTCCACCCTAACCCGTGATCACGATGTAAGTCCATGCTATCCAACCCCGCTCTCTAGAGTCGGGAAGGGCCATGGTCCTTACTATTTCCATAATTCAACCGGCTATCCACAAGGACTACCGAACACACCCGTAGGCCAATCCTATACTTAGGATCAATTTATTATTTACTTTATCTTGGGTATCCCTTAAGGCCTACCCCTAGTATAACTTAGAGTTCATACTTTCCTACCTTAAAGCATCTCTTAAGACTACTTAAGGCATAACATTTCACAATCCAACCTTAGGATCAATCTTAACAACATTTAATCTTAATGTCCAACTAGTATCTTAATACTAGTCAAATTAATATCAACAACCAAGTTCTCAACTCATAGTCATATAGACAATTCCAACTGATTTTCCTTTGAAAATATCATTTATCTCAATATCCAAAATATCACTTTTAATCACTCATATATTCTAATATGAGGAAAAAGTATATTTCAACACATGTTTCATAATAATTTCCACTTTCAAGTCAACATACTCATAACACATGAACATACACAATTTACTCCTAAATTTGTATATCATGCTCCTTTTTCTCTAGACGTTTAGTCTTGTCATTTTTAGACATTATTAATCATTAATAATCCATAAAAACACATTTAATTACCTTCGGTAATCTCATGAAATTAACTCACTAATTATAAGCAATATAGTCAGCCATCCTCACCTTATGAAGTGCTGAAATAGTTGCCTTTGCTAAGCCCCTCGATAAATCCCCGTTCTAGGCCGATTGAAGGTGTAAAACTGAGCTGCTGGGCAAAAGCCGGGCGGCTTTCGTGTTCTGCAGAAACGGGCAGCTCCCTTAAAGTGGCGGTTTCCGGCGATTCCGACTCCTATCGATTCACCAACTCTTCTAAGTTAAATATCACCACTTTATATCAATATTCTACACTTTTAAACGTGTAGAACATCATGTTTAATCCACCATATAATTTCTTAAAAATCATACACCATAAAACTAGTTAAAAGAACCATATGTGTTCTTACCTCAAGGCTTTGCCTTTTTCCTCTATGGATTCTTCCCTCTTCTTGGCTCCTCAAGCTCCAGAATGTTGAGAGCTCTTCCCTGGACCTTATCTCTCTATTCTATCCTCCTTATGGTGTAGAATGAGGGAGGAGTCCATCAAGTCTCCTCACCTTATGAGGATGGTGCATGAATGAGACAAGGAGGGGTGTGGTTTGTCCCCCCAGCTACCCTCTCCTTCATAAGTCCGCCCAAGCCATGTTAGGATGCCCCATTCCCATTACTCTGGTCATTCAGCACCCTTAAAAACGTGGGGTGGCCCCCACTTATGTGGGAGGTCATCCCATTATGTCCCGATATGTATAATCGGCCCCGAAAGTTGTATTTTTCGGACTACTTTAGTCGTATTTTATTTTATCGGCCCGGGCAAAATATATCACGTGTTCCTAATAATTATGGGCCTTTAGAATAGATGTACATTCCACAACATTAATTTAGGAGTCTCCGAAACTCATTTCGGGCTGTTATCCGTTAAATTACCAATACCGGTAATTGGGCCCCGTTTGACCCACCGGTCAACCCCATGCCTTTCTTATGGCCCAATTAAAATATCCACCACCATATACATATTATCTAGGCCAAGATGAATATAATATGTGGTTCGGGAATTATCGGGCGGTCCCCGTCCCGCTGTGGGCCCCACATGCAATTTACTATTCACGTAAAATAAATAGTAAAAATTAACAATTACGCAAATTCATAAATCATCTTTCAAGGTTTATTACATCATTTACTAAAAGTAAATATGCTCAGGGTCGGTGTTACACTGGCACTCCATGAAGTCTAACTATTTCATTGATGTACAACTCTGCCAGCTTATCCAATGAGTAATCTACTCTGACGGGTAGAAAATGTGCAGACTTCGTTAACCTGTCTACGATTACCCAGACATAATTATGTTTTCTCTGAGTTAAAGGTAGGCCAGTAACAAAGTCCATGGTGACTCGGTCCCACTTCCACTCAGGTATAGGAATCGGTTGTAGTAAACCAGATGGGACTTGATGTTCAGCTTTCACCTGCTGGCATGTGAGGCATTTGGTTACATAATCAGCTATGTCTCTCTTCATACCTGGCCACCAATAGTGTAGCTTAAGATCTCCATACATTTTAGTGCTACCAGGGTGCATCGAGTAGGAGCTGTTATGTGCTTCCTTCATTATGTGACTTTTCAAATCATCCTTTTCCGGAACACATATCCTGCCTTTGAAATATACCACACCATCATCTGTCAACACAAAGTCTTTTTCCTTCCCCTCTTGAATTCGAGTTACAAGGATATTCGCTCGTCTTGTTTCTGAGCATCCTTTACTTGTTGAATTAAATCAGGTTTCACCCTCAACTCTGCTATAATTGCTCCATCTGATGTTGTCGTTAGGTGAACATTCATAGCACGCAAGGCAAACAAAGACTTTCTACTGAGAGCATCAGCTACAACATTCGCCTTCCCGGGGTGATAGTCAATTACACAGTCATAGTCTTTAATCAACTCTAGCCATCTGCGTTGTCTTAAGTTTAGCTCTTTCTGAGATGGAAGGTATTTAAGACTTTTATGATCTGTGTAAATGTAGCATTTCTCACCATACAGATAATGTCTCCAAATCTTTAAGGAGAACACAATTGCTGACAGTTCCAGAT